TACATAGCACTTTTTTGGTTAATTTCATGCAACTTATTGTAGTTTAGTACAATAAGTTGAGAAAAATTAAATTCATATTCATCCTCAGCCACAGAAGTTCTCTGGGTATTTTTTGCCAGCTCACTCCTTCTCTTTGCCAAAACTACCTTAGAGGACTATTGTTGTGGAGAAAAATGAAAGAAAAAAGTGCTATGTATTTTTCCTTGTGTTCCTGAAGGAAAAATGTGACCGAAATCTAATCAATCAAGTAATATCTTCTCAAGTAGATAATCCCTGCCTACCAGTTAACTGTTTTAAAGTTCCTTTTTCAAGCATTTGCTGTACACTTACAACTTAAAGTACTTTGTGTTTATGGATTTTTCTACTTTTTCTATTTCTCCTTCTTCCAACTTGGTGTTCTTCTCTTGAATCCTCTGCTAATGTCTCCCATACAATAATTGACGGAGATTAGATTTTTAACTGAAATTCAATTTCCACAATTCCGTCTTTTTTCTACTGCTGGGTTATTTCCTGCCCATCCACCCACAGATAAAAACATGAAAATAAAAGATCTTATTTGCTCAGTATGTCCTAATTAAAATAGGGCAGAGACCCAGTATAAAAACCCCTTTGCTATAAAAGTTAATAGGATGATTTTGGCTAGTCACATAGAGTTGTTAATCAAAAATTTGAGGAAGAAATGCTATCAAGAACATTTTTCTCAACTTTGGGATGCCTGCCGTTCTATATGACACTATTATTATATGAATAATTATGCTGCTCACACATGACCAATTTTTCATAGTTGGACAAGACCCTACATAACATTGAATGGGATAAACAGAAGTCAAGGTATGAATTTCATTGTATGAATGATATTAACCATTCTGAGGTCTACATTTAAATTATTTATTACCAAGAAATTCCAATCAAGTATTTAAAAATGTAAAATCTTACTATTTTTACACGATGGTACTATGGGAACCCAATTGTTGTTCTTTTCACATCGAATCAAATAATTTCCAATCATGAAATACCCAATTTCGCACTGAAATTTAACTTTGCTTCCATATGTATATTTCTTCTCAGGTTCACTTATTATTATTCCATGTTCTACCACTGGATTGTTACAGAATACCCCTAATAAGATAGGAAAATAAATACAGCCATAAGATATAAAATATCAGAGATTGTTCCTGTATATTTTTAATCTGTTTTTCACCTGAATGTAATCCAAAAATAAGTACAGCAGAAATCTCGTGATTTCTCCTCCAAAAGGCAAAACTTTTTCCTGAAACTTTGGATCAAATTTGAACTGAAAACTTTAACTATTATTTCTTTATATGCCACTTTGATTTGCATCTCTTGGTATTGATCAATTAAATATATATAAAAAAACTAAAATGGATTCAACCGGAAGTTGGACAGACGAGGAGGTGTGAGCTCTGAAGAGTCTCACATGAATTCTGTCTGACAAACCAATTCCGAGATCCCTTTTTGGATCAGACCACCCACTGTGGGGAGGTGAAGAAGGGGCAGGGTCTCATAAGACCCAGAGGGAGGCAACAGGTCCCTCGCAGGTCGGAGATTTGCCTTCTGAATCAGAGTAGGGGTGACAGCATGACAACAGGCTGCACAAGAAGCTGGCTTCCAGCCAAAGCAACTGAACAGGAGCGTGAGGTCAAGATGAAAGACTGTTAAGAAGATTCATTTAACCACAATCATAAATCAAAACTTGGAAAAGGCAAAGAATTTTGAGAGTACAAACAATATTAATAGCCAGATCTGGATTTTGGCAAAAGGAAAGAAAGAAAGGGAAAATGGAGGTTGAAACAGCCCCACAAAAAAGCCATTTGTTTGAAACAATTTGGACAAAAAGGGAGAAAACAGAGAAGTGACGAACCCACTCAAATACAAACTCTAAATTTAGTTTTGGATTTGAAGTGGAAACCAAACATTCTGAGATGATTTACTTCGTCCGAATTTCTTCTGACTATCTTAAACAACTCCAATCAATGAGAGGTGGAATGCAACAAGGAAGAAAAATCAAAGAAAAAGCACTATTTTCTCACTGATAACTGATAACCTAATCTTGACTGTGCAGGAGATTTAATTAACCAACTGCCATAAATCAGAATTTGGAAAAGCAGGAGATGAAGAGAAACATACCTGAGTTTAGTTGTATGCAAGTTTGTTCCAATTAATATGTTTTGAGCAACCATAACCAACAAGAGGCGGAAGGTAGCAAGGGAAAAAAAATAAAATAAAATCAAGAACTGTGAAATCTTTGCAAAAGATCAAGATAGCTCTAGCTTCTCCTCCATTCTCACATTAGCTAAATTTAAGGTGGACCAGAATTTTGAAATAAGAACTGTATAACTAACTGCAATTTTGGAATTGGACATTAAAGAAGAATAAAAGACCAAGATGGCCCCCGTCGCTGTTCTACACAGCAGCTGAATTAGATAAATTTAAGGTGGACCAGAACTATGAAATAAGAACTGTATAATTAACTATAACTTTGAAACTGGACTTTATGGAGAGGTGGGAATTTGAAGAACTACATGAAATTATAAAAATATGCATAAATAATTAAAATCAAGCCTAAACATAATTCTGAACTCAGAGAACCAGGAATTTAAAGAAGGGAAGGAAGAAGCGGGGAGGGTTAATGAAGGGGTAGAAGCGGTGGAAAATAAGAAACAGACAAAAAACTTCTTTGTGTTTGGTAGTGGTATAGGGGAAATTGAAAAGGGGGGGATGTGGCCCAACAAAAGGAACTAAAAAGCAGACAAAAGATTTTTACAGAGGCTGACAGTGGCATAGGGAAAAGAAGGAGGTTACGGCCCAACAAAGGGAAATATAAAAGATTTCTTTGACAGTGGCTTGGGGAAAATTGAAGAGGGTGGATATGTCAAAACAAAGAAAAGGGGGAATGCAAGAATAGAGAAGTGGGAACCAAAGACTAACTAGGAAAAAATCAGACAACTAGAAATTGTTATATGGGGAAATAGAAAGCTGAGATAAAGGGTTTTATTCCTAAATATGACTATAAAATTATGTTGTTGACTGATTGAATATGATAATGGAAAGATAATTAAATAAAGGTTAAAATATATGGAATATGGACAAATATGAAACTGATATGAAGAAATTGTAAAGCAGAGAGTTGTGATTCACTTTTATACATGACGACTAAACTGAGTTGCTAATTGATTATGACAATGGAAGAACAATTAAACACGGGTTAAAATGGACATGCAGAACTTCTAAGATGATGAAGAAAATGAGATGTGAACCGCTTAGTATTCTATATAGTAGATTAAGGTAATTGTAATGAACATTGAACAGGAAGGATTGTTCTTTATAGACAATTAAGGGTAACCTAAACCAAGAGATGGAAAAATGGAGAGGAAACATGAAATATGTTTACAATGGGAAACTATTGAGATTGAAAGACAGAATCACAAATTGGGGGCGTGTAAGGATGCATAACTTTATAAATATAATGATGAGAATAGCTGGAAATTGTAACCAGGTCTACATCTCAGACAAAATTAGGCTGAGAGGGGGTTTAAAAGTACAATCTCTCTCTCTCTCTATGTATGTATGTATGTATGTATGTGTACATATATATATATATATATGTATGTATGTATGTATATACCGTATTTTCACGACCAAAAGCCGCACCGGATTAAAAGCCGCAGTATCAATTAACGTTAATTTTTTTAACTTTTTCCACATANCAGAAAAGAGATCCCTTCTAAAGCAGAGGAACACAAGATCAACTGACAAGATGATTCTGTCCAGATTCTGGAAAACTGCAAGGGAAGAAAGACCAATATGAATGTAGCTTGGATTGATTACAAGAAGACATTCAACATCCTGCCACATGATTGAATAATCAAATGCCTAGAAATAACAGGAATCAGTAGAAACATCAGAAGCTTTGTGCAAAGATCAATGGTACAATAGAAAACATGGTTGCTAAACAATGGTAATAGATTGACAGAGGTTAACATCAAGAGAAGAATCTTCAAGGAGACTCACTTTCACCACTACTGTCAACAATACTAAGAACTCAGGCCATGGCTATCAAACACCAAAATATCTGCCAGACTATCCTACTTCCTTTACATTGATGTAGTTGTATGGAAAAACGCTATCTGAATCGCTGCTCAATATTGTGCATCTATATACCTAAAATTTTGCAATGGAGTTTAGACTGGACAAATGTGCCATGCTTATTATTAAATGAGGAAAATAGTAAAAACTGAAGGAATCCCCATAGAAATAACATCAAAAATCTCAATGAAAACAATCACTGTAAATGAAAATGATCACCTGAGCATCTTTCAAGTTGACAACACCAAGCACACTGAAGTCCAAGAAAATATTAGAATTGAAGTATCGCTTCAAGTAAATGAAGTATCACTTCAAGTAACAAGCCAACTAATGTACAGCACAGTTGCAATACAGTTAGGAGGAAATACCACATAGTGATGGCATTTCTTCTTCCAAATTCAATGGAGGAAATATCATAAAGGCAATTAACACCTGGGCAATTCCAGTCATCAGATACATATTTGGAATAGTGAACTGGATTCAAGCAGAACTAAAAGCCCTGGATTAGACGACTAGAAAAATCATGACAATGAATCATGCCTTACATCCCGAAAGCAATGTTGAAGACTCATTTACCAAGGAAACTGGGTGGGTATGAACTGTTGCAAGTACATCACAAGTTGAAGAAGTAAAAAAAAGGCATTGAAAGAATATCTGAAGGACAGTAAAGAAGATTGTCTGAAGCTAGTATAGCAGGAGTACTGCAGAGTCAAAACTGGCCTGCAGCAAAGATCAAATGAAGGACAGAAATGAGGCATGGGAAACCAAAACATTACATGACCAATACATTAAACAAAATAGCACGGAAAACTGGTAATAACTCTAATAGCAAACATCAATAGCTGCTTATCCAAGGTTCTTGGGAAGGACTTGATAGGTGGATAAGAATGCCAAATCTAGTCTGAATATCTGACAGACTATGCAACAAACAAGGTTTCAGCACAGGGGTACTAAAATGTTATTTACACACTATAGGAGCTGGCAGAAAACATACAGGTTTAAAAAGACCAGAACTTCCCATTTTTATTTTACCTTGCTTCAACAAAGCAAAATCTGATTTCTGTTCACATAAGAAACAAAGGGAATAGAGAGGTAAACTGGGAATGCATCCTTTGGTGCCATTTACTGTCTTCTAGCTGAGTGAATGGCGTTTTTTCCTAGATCATTGCATTAGACTTGGACTTGGACTTAATCTTCGTAAATGTCAACGTCCATAAGGCAGTGACCATTGCATTGTGAAGACCAGGGGCAGGACGTCACGGATTACAGCACGCCATTGATCCCGATTTAGGGCGGCTTGTTGGGCATCGGTTATCGAGAAATGGAGTGGTTGAAGATCGTGAGCCACTTGGGATATCCACGTTTTCTTTGGGGCATTTCGTGAGATTTTCCACCCATCCGGTCGCAGCGAGTTAATCGATCGGTAAGGTAATCGGCTATTGTCCATACGGCAAACGTGTCCAAACCATCTAAGTCGTTGTCTTCTTAGGTAAAGTTCGATTGTAGTTTGGTTTTTACACAGCTGCAATACCGTTTCGTTTTTCCACCGGTCCCATAGAGTTATGTGCAGAATGTTGCGCAGGCATCTTAGCTGGAATCGCTCTAATAGGTTCAGGTCGCTTTTAAGTAAAGTCCACGATTCCGAGCCGTACAGTAAGATTGTGCGGATGGAAGCATTAAATATCCTCATCTTGGTCGCAATCGTCACGTCATTTTGGCTCCACAGGCACTTCCTTAAAGAGGCGAATGCGGCTGTAGCATTGCCAATGCGGCTTTTGATATCATTTGTAGCCACTACACGTTGGCTGTCGATGATCGACCCCAAATATTTAAACGTGTCTACTCTTTCGATAGGGTTGCCTTCGAGGTGCAGTTGAGCTGGTTGACTGCCCGTGAAAATGAATTTGGTTTTTTCACCATTTATCACCAGGCCGAGCTTGTTAGCATTTGCTTGTAATGCATCCAGGGTATTTTGGGCGGTTTGGGCTGTTTCAGCAAAGAAGACGATGTCATCAGCATACACCAAGTCCGTGAGAGACAGCTGAGCCCCGATTTGAACGCCTGGTGTGTCTTTAAAAGTTTGTCTGAGGATCCAATCCATGGTTATATTGAAGAGCATTGGTGAAATAATACAGCCTTGTTTGACGCCGGTAGTTATTGAGAATGGTGGGGACACATTTCCCAGGTATTTTGTCCGGCTCATTCCACCTTCGTAAAAAGCTTTAAGCACGTTGAGTGTAGCATAGGGGATTGATTCAGCTTTAAGGGCACACCACAACGATGAATGATCTATGCTATCGAAGGCGCATGAAAAATCCACAAATACTAAAAAAGTGTCCTTTTTGTAACGCAGGCGTGATTCGGCTAGTTGTCTCAGGGTAAATATTTGGTCTGTGCAACCTCTTCCTGGTCTGAAACCGGCTTGCTCTTCCCTGCAATTAGTTTCTCTGACTTTCAGTAGTCTGGATCGGATTATAGAGGTTAAGAGCTTGCCGGATGTTGATAGCATTGCATTAGGTAATATTTTTCTTTTGTGTGAAGAAAGCAAAGCAGCTTTCTTCAACCTTCAATACATTTTGTCAGATTAGAATTCTACAATCTTCAAATCCATGCTATATTTTAAAAAGAGAACAGCAAATAATTTCTAGGCAGTTAAAACAATGTTTACTTAGTATAGTATATATTCTCATTGATACTTACTCAAATGACAAGTTGGGACACTAGGAAGCCATTTCTTTCCACCAATATATTTAATCTTAGATGGCCCTTTCAATACATAGCCAGCATGGCATGCAATATCCACCTCATCTCCAGGCCTGTAATATTGTTTCTTCCCATGGACTATTTTTCCATGATTGATGAAAAGATGAAAATTATCTGGTGAAATTTTAACTAAAAATACAAATAGGTATTATAAGCCCCCAAAGAAGCAAATACTAAAATTAATGCAAAATATTACATATTTTGCACACCCTCACATCGTGGACATAAACTGTTTCAACTTCTTTGCTCAAGACGATGCTAAAGGGCATTACACACCAAAACAACGAGGCACCCTGTTTCCCCATCCCCACCCCCAATGCTATCACTCTGTTAATCCCCACAATACTGTCTGTGCCTTGAGATGTCAAACCACCTAGTAGGGCTGTATTACTTATCCTTCTCATCTATCTTATTACCTATTTTCTTAGATTCTTCTGACTATAACTTAGTTGTTTTAGCACATTACTTATGCTGATTGCTTTTATTATCATATTTTGTGTTATGTTGATTGCTTATTTAGTAATCTATGACTATCATTGAATGCTGTATCTTATGATTTATGATTATTGTATTTTAAAATTATGATCATGATTTATCACTTGTAGTTTTTATGTACTGTACCCTGAGAGCTTATGCACCAGAAAAAAATTCCTTGTGTGTGTCCAATCACCCTCAGCCAATAAAGAATTCTATTCTATTAGGCAGGCAGACACGTACCAAAGCCAAACATTCTTTTCCAAAATTACCTTGCTGAAGTGACAAAATGATTATTGTGGGACTTAGAAAAATTACTTCCTTATAATTTGTCTGCATTGTTCCTAATCTTTTTCAGTACAAACTAAACTTTCATTTAAATTCATTATGCAATACATTACAACATTCAGAAACTGTCAACAAAAACACGTGCAATATTCTGCCTTTCCTGTAAATAACTGGAAA